ATATATATATATATATTATATAATAATATTTTATTCAATAATTTCAATAAATCATACTTGGAAAACCAATTTTTAAAAACAATTCATATTAGGATCTAAGATATAATCATTTTGTCTTTTTTCTGATTATTTGATAACAAATAATCTTTATTATTCATTAACTTCTATTATTTTTATTAATTTCTATTTTTATTTTTATTAACTATAAGTTTAATTAACTTTTATATTTTTACTAAAATATTTTACGCAAATTATATTTTATGCAAAATTTCATCTATTTTCAAAAAATATTATTACATAATTATATATATAAATTTTAATTTATAAAAATTATGGTAAAATAACAATATTAAAAAGATTTCTTCGTTACGATTAAAATTAATTATTTTTTTGTAACTTAATATTGATTTAACAAATATATTATAATGTTTTTAAATAAAATTAATTGTCTTTGCTTTTGAAAATTATATAACATAAGTGATTTTTCTGATTCTATATTTCCATAATGCTTATAAAAATAAATAAAAAATACTTAAATGATTATTCAATTAATTGAAAAAGAATTGTTGATAAAACAATATTTAATAATAATTTTAATTAAAAAGCAAATATAAAATCAAGAAAATAATAAAATCAAAATAAATATTAATAACAGCAAATATTAAAAAGCAAATATAAAATCAAGAAAATAGTAAAATCAAAATAAATATTAATAGCAGCATTCATAAATAGAATAAAATAGAATAAACTACAATTTTAATATTAATTGTTATTTCTTTCATATATATATAAGTGATATTTTTTAAAAATCTAAATAATATAATGGATTTTATAATTTATTTGATTGCATAATTGAATTGTTATAGGTTAGTATGACTTCTACATTCGGGGCTGCAACCACTAGTAATCCTAGACCATTCAAATGTACTGACTGTAAAATAGCATTCAGAATACACGGTCACTTAGCAAAGCATCTTCGTAGCAAAATGCATATTATGAAATTAGAATGTTTAGGAAAATTACCGTTCGGAACATATGCTGAAATGGAAAGATCTGGTATCAATTTGAATGATATTGATACTACTGACTGTGATAATAGTCTTACTAGTCTTCAGGTAAGCAATATTAAAAATTTTCAAAAATTTTATATTTATGTATAGTATTCTATTAAATATAATCAGATATTAATAAATATTATTGTTTAAATTCATATCATATTTCACTGAAAAAATTTTTGGAATAAAAATGAATTATTTTTATTTTAATATAATAATTATAAAAAATTCAAACTTAAAAAATATATATATAATGTAGAAGATTACTATGAATAATGTTATATTATATATTATATTATATTATATAAAAATTATTTTTATTTTGTTACATGTAATAATATCAGTTTAAAACTATCAATTCTGATATTAATTCCTTTCAACAGATGCTGGCTCAAAGACTTTGTGAAAAAGATCCTACTAAAATAGGACAATGGGATCCTGAAACAATTTCAAGTCAAATGATCAGCGGTGGTGAAACTTCATCGGATGAGGGTGAGCCTGTGCCACAACACATGGTGCATCCAGATCCTGTGAAAGTGACAGACGCGGACATGTCTCGATAGTATCATGTGCCAATCTCGAACGAAGATTCGAAATTTGATGTTCGCCATACAAATCTTCAGTTTAGTTAACAGAGATGCGAGTACGGTATGAAAGGCTAAATCAACCTACATTTCTCATAGATGATATGAGAGCCGAACAAAATCATGCAATCATACAAGTGCCAACTTTACGGTGTCTTGCGTACTATGAAAAAGTTAAAAGTACATTTGCTTTGTTGAACATAATATCAAATCAGATTCTAGTACAAATATCCAAGGGAATAGAAACAAAACTTTGGACAAGTGTAGAGAGAAAAAAGAATACTCAAAAAAGAATTATGGAGAAATTTGTAGTCAAGAAAGATTACAAAAAATAATCGAAGACTCATAGTGCCAAAATAATGCAGCGGACAATATAGACAATCTGCGGTGAAATTATTTCAAAAAAACTTGTTGCCGTAATCGATATAATAGTTATAAATAATTATAAATAGTAACAAAATATTATCTCTTTTCGAAGGAAATTTATTAAAAATGTCATTAATTATTAATAGTGTTTATTGATAAAAATTGAAGCAAATGTTTCCAATATGCTAAAAATGCAATTTAAATAAATTAAATATTATGGTGATGTACAGCAAATATTATCGAAAAAAAATTATTATTATTATTATGAAATTCTGGTTTATTTAATATTTATTCAATGCACCAAAGTACATAATAAAGTATATAATAAATGCATATCTTTAAAATGAAAATAAAACAAAATTTTGTTATTTTTAATATTCTGATGAATAAATTTTTTTTTCACTAAATTATATAATTTAAAAAATGATATCTAATGGTTCAAAAATTTTTAATCGATACTACCTCTTGAAATTTTAACAATTATTAAATAGAAAAAAATATTGTTTTTATATATATTTTTGATTACTTTTTAGTTTCCAATTAGGAAATTCTTTCTAAATGTAATTAATTATTATAAAATTTGAATTTGTTTATATTAATTTGAACTTGTTTTGTGTTAGTTAAAACTAATTTTGTATAGAAATAAATAGAAAGAATAAAATAAATGACATTTGTTTATTTAATGAGCAGGATATTTTCTGTACATTTATATTAAATTGAAGTAAAATTTCATATTTAAGTTAAAATGTTATATTTTAATTTTATATAAATAATATTATTCATTTTACTTTGCTTCAATCTCTCAAAAAATTTTTTTAAATGTACATATATAACCAAGTTTTCTATATTTAATATAGTTATATATGTACATAATAATAAATATATATTGTACAGATTTATAATCAATACCAGATGTATCACACAGTGTACTAAAATAATGATTTATTTAAATGTCATTCTTAGATTAAAAAAAAACATGAAAAAAATTAGATTAAAAAAAACATGAACTAATTTAATTTTATATGAGTTTCAAAGATTTACGAAAAATCATATTATTATATATTCTATTAAAAAAACAATTTAAAAAACAAAATTATAAATAGGAATTGAATGAAACTGTTTAAATTTTCTATTAGATATAAAATAATAATATATATAATATATTCGTTTAAAGAAGTTATATTAATATATAAATTATTTATATATTTTAAAATTAAAAAATTTCTAGAATTTGAATATGTTTGTTATGTTTATTTATAATTATTTATAATTCTAATTATATTTTATCTTAAAATATCTCTTAAGAAATATATGATTCTTTGAAATTCTTATTAATTGAATACAAAATAATTATAAAAATACTTTTATAACATAACTTTATCATAAATTAATTAAAAGCAGGAAAGAAATGATTTAAAAGTTAAAAATTTAGCAAATAACTTTTATTTATAAAAATGAACACTTTCATTCAATCTCTAATTATAAACTCTTATGTTCTTAAAATACTCTAGATTATATTTTTTATTTTATATTTTAATTTTAATTAGTAAAATAAATACATTTATTATAAAGTTGTTAAAAATTTCTAAAAAGTATAATTAAAATAATAATGTGCCAAATATTTATTAACATGCAATATTATAATTTTAATATTTTATTTAATTATTATGAAAATCATTTTTGAATGACACGATATAAATTATTAAAATTTTATTTGAAAAATTTTGGTACACATGTGGGAAGATACAATTACAGAGTAAAGCGGACATTCTAACTCATTGATAAGGAACGGAAAGTTCTATTTTAGTAAGTGTTGTTTACATTGCTATATGTTCCAGATAATAGTCTTTTATTATTGCTTATATTTTTGAAAAAATAAATTTATACATATTTGATATTATCGTTACTTCCAACATTTATACATAAACATTATATACTACAATTAAAACTAGATTCAAATAGTACGATTTGAAAAAAAAAATAATTCTAAAATATTGTTTTGATTAATTTATTCAAAAAAACATTTACAATTTTTTCAAAAATTTATTAAAAATTATTATATAAATATATCATTTATATTGTTTTAAATTGGAAAAATAATTATTTATGTGATCTATTACAAAATATGAAATATTTTAGAAAATAATAGTTTATAATTTAATCATTTAAACCTTAAAATTTATTAAATTTGTAATCTAAATATTATGCTATTGAATATTTGTATTTACATAGATATAATTTTGTTTACAAATTTAGTTTACAAAATTTTGTCTATTTTTCTTATATTATTTTCCTGCAATTTACAAATTCATTTTAATTAAAATAATTTAATTTATTATTTTCTTTATTTTGACTTTTATTATTGTATCTAAATAAAAAAACAAATTAAAAACAAAAATAAAAAATTTATTTAAATTTAATTTACTGAAAAAATTGTCAAATGCCAACATTTACGTTTATTCTTGCAGTTTATGTTTTAATATAATTTTATTTTATAATAAAATATTTCATTATTATAATATGCACGAAACTATCTTTTTCTTCATAATCATATTGTTATAAGACCATAACATATTTATAAACAAAATATATATTTAATTTTAATTTAAAAACCTATAAGAGAAACAATTTGTAATTTTTTCCTGTTTATATTAATTTGAACTAGAAAATTATTTGAAATTTATTTGAAATATATTTGAATTATATTTATGAATTATATATGATTATTATATATTATTATATATATATGAATTATATTTGAATTATATTTGAAATAGAAAATTATCAATATGGGATAACCTTCAATATCTTGTCCTTAATTATGTGTTTAATGAATGTGTAAGAGCAAATGTTATATTAATAAATTCAAATAAATAAAATATGATCGTTTATAATGCTCACCTTTTATATATGTATTTTCATGGTTCTTATAACACTATTGAGAGTTAAGATTGTAAAATTATAATTTACATTAATTTAATAAAACTAACAATTATTTATTATTAAAACTTATTCCTTTTTTAAATATTTCAAAGCTAAGATATAAGGAAATCTTAGCTTAAGATCTAATACAATTTCCTTCGAAAATTGATAAAGTGTAATTTGCAGTTCATAATTCATTTAGTAAAAGATAATATTTATATAGTAGTGTTGTATCAATATAAGGTGCAATGGACTGGTATGTGATTCTGTATTTAAAGTGCAACTATTGCGTTCAACGTTAAAGAGTATTCTAATATTAAAAATTAATATTATATCTAATTATTAATACATGAATCATATATATACATATATTTGTATAATATTAGTATAATCAATTATGAGAATTATTGTTGACATAAGAGAAAAATATGTTTGTATATATTTATGTATAATATAATGAAATCATTTTAGTCTTCATGTTAAGAAGTAATTGAGAACAGAATCGGTTATTCAGATTATTTATAAAACATTAATTTCAATGAATCATTATATATTCTTTATTTTTTTATTCACTTTGAATTCTTTATTTTCGAAACAGAATTAGGTAAAATATTTAAATTATTATTAAAATTTAAATATTTAAATTTCTTGAATACATTTATTTATTTTTTTATTAATAATTATTATTGTTTTTAATTATATTAATTATATTATTTGTAACAACAAAATATTATTAATTCAAAAGAATTGTATTTTAGTATGCACGATCAAAATAAAAGAATTTATATCAATATCAACAAAAATTAAACTTACAATAATATTATTGTAAGTATTAAAGTTTAAAAGTAATAAATTTAGTAATATAATATATACAAAATATATATACAAAATTTAAAATAAATAATGAAAGATTTATTCAGTTTTTAAATAGAAATATGTATATGTTTGAAATGAAAATTGATTAGAATTTTATTTTATCAATTTAATAAATATAAAAATATGAATCTTTTATATGGTAATTTAATAATAATTTATTCCTAATTCTGTTTAATAATTAATTAAAAATAATATATTTTTGATAAGTTTAATTAAATTTAATTATTAACCAAATTATTATTAAACTGAATAACCGATTTTTTGATTTTGCTTAAAATATTTAAGCAGTATATACCTTCCACAAGCGACAGCTATCTACTATATCTTATAACTATTTACATAATACATAAAGCCCAGTTTTTATACATGTCCCTTATAATATGTCCCTCAAGCACAACTTGTCTTTCCTATTGCATAATCAAATTTTGATTATCACAATTTGTACCTAAACGTGCTTGAGACAAAATAGGAGACAAATTGAAATATCGCACAATCATATATATGAGGTCCAGTTGAAATATCGTCAAACAATATCAATATGGTATAGTTTGACATATTTGATGTATATTCATTCTAATACAAACCAATTAAATCATGTATGAATTTTTAAAGTGTGCATGTATGTATGTTCACAATGCCAAGCCAACAATATTTATATTTTGAAGAAATAATAAGATAAACAAAACACAACTTTTTCATTGAAAATATAAAATAAATAATATTTAATAAATAATATTAAAAAAAAAATTCCATGGAAGAAATAAATTTTGGAATGGCTAAAACCAAATTTTAAATAGTTTAATGTTCATCTTTGAACTATATCTCATGTGATAATTAAGATAGTTCTTTCAAAATATTATTCTCAATATATTTTCGAAATAATTATTTTTTGTAAAAATATCAAAAATTTTAAGAAGCATACATAACAGAAAATTCTTTACATATCAAATCTATTAATTTAGATCTAAGAAATCATAAATATCTACTTTTTGTCATTTGTGTACGTACAGTATAATAAATAATTTGATCTAACAAGAGAAGAATTTAACTGATCGTCTTTAATTTTATTGCTTTTGTACAATATTATAAAGTTTTGATAATTATAATACATGTAAAATATTAGAAATAGATATATATTCAATAGTTTTAAAAATATAAATAATTTTTTATTAGATTATTAAATTATAATTTTATTTATAGTTACGTTATACATAATTCTAAATCATAATTATCATATACATATATTCGGAACATAAGAAATTTCGATACATTATAATAAATAATTGTTTATTATATTTGCATTTCTTTCTTTTTTTAATTTATCTGGAAAAACTACTTGATATTGA